GAGCTATAGGCGCCGAGCCCCATTTTTTGAGATTAATCCTCACTCTGTCGCCCTGTGTAGAATGCTATAACATCATAGCTCACAGCAACCTCAAATTCCTGGGTTCAAGTAATGCTCTTGCCTCAGCCTCCCAATTTTGCTGCTGTTTATAAAGCTAAATCCTCTTATATGCTAGATATGGAGCAAGGGATGGGGAATTCTGTAAGTCCTACCCAATCTATACTATACCATCTCTTCTTGTTTTAATGCTTTTATTTTCTTCCATCTGTATAATGGCCATTTCTAGTAATAAGCTAATTTAAGGTTTGGACAGACACTTATTCATTCTTCTAATCAATAAGCATTTTTGAATACCTACATTTGGCCAAGTATTGTGACAGTCACTTGGAAATAGAACAGGAGAGATCTCACCCTGGTCCTCCCTGGTCTCACTTACTTGATCCTAAAGTCATCGGCAGCCAGCTTGGCGTTGTCAATTTGCACAATCAGCCTGGCGTTCTCAGCCTTACTGCACAGGATCTGAGGAAATCCAAGAAGACGGTTCACACACAAAGCAGGTGCCAGCTCATGTGTGGTGTCTACACCCAAGTCCAGAGAGAATCCAAGCACCCCAAGCTCTTTTCCTGCCACCCTTCTGCCTTCTCAGACCCAGCACACCCCGGCTGTCCCACGCCTCACCTTCTGCTGCAGCTCCTCGATGGTGCGGAAGTAGGACTGGTAGTCCGGGCACACGCTGGACTCGTGGCACCTGCTCCACTCACGCAGTTTGGTCTCCAGCTCCGCGTTGTCGCGCTCCAGCTGCCGCACCTTCTCCAGGTAGTTGGCCAGCCGGTCGTTCAGGAAACGCATGGTCTCCTTCTCGTGGCCGTTCAGGCTGCCTTCGCCATAGGCCCCACAGATCCCGATGTTGCCGGGAACATGGCAGGTCCCTGGCAAGGGACAAGCAGCATGGCAGCTGGGGGGCAGGCAGAGGCTGGGGCGGCCCAGGGGAGTGGACCCCACACGGATGCGGTTGGCGTGTGCCACGTTGGCCAAGAGACACTCCACTCTGGGCTGGCACTCGACATCGACGGGGGAGATGCAGACGTTTCTGGCTCCCAGGGGCTTGGTGCAGCCCAGAGAGCAGGATGAGCTGAGGCAGGAGGTCATGGTGCTGGGCAGAGGCTGCACAGGAGTTCAAATCAACTGACAAGGCCAACTACGAGTCTGAGGCCCTCCTCTCCTGCTGGCCCTTTTATACCCCTCCCAGGAGGGAGCTGGTGCACACGCCTTGACCTCACTCCTTGATCACCTGCCTGTTGCTGTGCCGTCAGCCTGTTTGTTACTCAGCTATCGGCTTTATTAAAAGTTGCTCAGCTCATTAAAGGAATGGTGAGGAATCTGAGGTGCCTCCTGGCCCTTTGATATCAGGTTGGCTGTTAGCAGGAAGACAAAGATTCATTACTTCTGCTCAAGAAACACCCGCAGTTAATTCACAGCCCACATAGCCTCCGTCTGGACTGGGCTGGTCTCCATGGATATGGCCACAGTGAAGAATTCAAATCTTCCAGTCAGTAATTTGTGTAGCAGAGAGACCAAGAAGCTCTGGGACCCACTGGTCCACTCACCTGTGCAAAACTCACCCAGTCTTTGGTCTGAAGAGAAGACGTCATTTCATAAAATGGATCATATTAATGCATGATGATAGAGAGGCCCCATTTTTTTCTTTTTCTATCTTTTGTATTGTGTACCCACCCCCCTTGAAGAGCAGTAAAGCATCGACGCATCCAGAAACATTCATGCTAATTAGGTATTTGTTGATCAATCAGTATCAGCTATTTATTGTTTTATTTGTTCCATCATTCATTCACGGTTCCTCAATATCCCCCATAACTCAGGCAGCACACTGGTTCCTGGACATGAAATGTTTGTTGTCCTTCAGGCAAAAGCAGTGCCCCAGGAACTGGGGTGTGTTATCCCAACCCAGATAAGAACCATAGATCAGTGAGTGTTAGTGAAAGATAGACTATAGTCCTGACACGGGAAGTATTTAGAGAGAAGCTGCTAACAAACCAAATCTTTACTTGATCCAGGGGAGGGAAGTTGGGCACAGGGCTCAAGCCACATTCAGATTAAAGGTAAAGAACTAACGTTTGAGTACATGGGTGTGCTGGGTATCCTATTATGTCCTGTCCTGTTTAATCCTTACCACCTGTGAAGTAATTATGTTCTCACTGTGCAGATGAAGAGACTAGAGTACGTTTTCTCATTGACAGAATTAATGAATGGCAAAGGCTTGATTCTATCTCATGTCTGCAGAACCCATTCTCTCCTCTCTCTCTCACTCTCTCTGTCTTTGAGACATGGTCTCGCTCTGTCACTCAGGCTGGAATCTGGTAGCATCATCATAACTCACTGCCACATTCAACTCCTGGCACATGCCACCCAACCATCAAATTGTTTTATTTTCTGCAGAGATGGGGTCTCACTATGCTGCTCGGTCTGGTCTCATCCTGACCTCAAGCAATCCTCCCACTAAGCCTCCCAAAGTGCTTGGATCACAGGCATGTGCCATCATGTCCAAGAACCTGTTCTCTTTCCAGTTCACCTATGAGAATAGGCTATGTTGTCACTGGGCCTGAAGCGAGGGCAAAGGGTTTAGTTATTGGACAAGAAATTGAAATGAAAAGAAATAAAATGACTGAAGAACTCTGTGTTCCAGCAAAGACAGATATTTGAATATTGGGGCAGTAAGGACAAAGAAGTACACATAGAAAATTACACTCAAAGATGAGAGTTTGGACTATAGTCATGCATTGCTTAATGACGGGGATGCACTCTGAGAAATGCATTGTTAGGCGATTTTGTTGTTGTGCAAACATCATAGACTATACTCACATAAGCCTAGAGGGTGTAGCCTTCCACACACCTAGGATATCTGGTGTAGCTATTGCTTCTAGGGTACAAACCTACACAACATGTTAGTATACTGAATACTGTAGGCAATTGTAACACAATGGTAAGTATTTGTATATCTAAGCATAGAAAATGTAATGTATTGTGTTACGATGTTATAATAGCTGTGACATCATTAGGAATTTTTCAGTTCTATTATTATCTTATGGGACCACCATTGTGCACATGGTCTGTTGTTAACAGAAGCATTGTGACACCATGCCTGATTGTGAACCTCAAGTCCCAGAGATTTCTTTTTTTTTTTTATTAAATCATAGCTGTGTACATTAATGCAATCATGGGGTACAGTGTGCTGGGTTTATATACAATTTGAAATAGTTTCATCAAACTGGTTAACATAGCCTTCATGGGATCCTCTTAGTTATTGTGTTAAGACATTCATATTCTACATTTAGAAATATTCACATGTACCCTTGTAAGATCCCAGAGATTTCTAGCAGAGCTGGGGAACAAGTCATGCAATGGCTGTGGGGCCAAGGATTATCCCTCCAAAGTGGTAGAGAGAAAACAGAGAAACCAAAAGACTGAGGAAGATCCACTAAGACTCTAAAAGAGTGTAAATAGATCTTTGCTCTGAGAAAAGTTTAAGAACACGCACCCTGATGAAAACAGAAGGGGACTCAGGCAATGTGAATGTTGGTAAAACCTGGGCTCTTAGAATTCTCTCAAGAAGAAATAAAGAGGTCTAGAATTCTTCCCAAAAGGAAAGCTTGCTCTAGGTCAGCTGTGGCCCTGCCAGTGGCCTTGAGGTCAGTGATGAGTCATTCTTTCCTGGGGCAAACCTTGGAGGACCCCTCCCTGCCAGGCCAGCCTTCAGACGCCCTTGGGTGCAATCTGCATGTGTTCTGTCTTCAAAGACCCATGTTTCTCTCTTCCACCTCGTCAGAGAGCATCACTATAACCTGAGAATTGGGCCATTAAAACTGTTTCCTTTGATTTGCTAAATAGCATCCCTCGTTTGACCCTGTCCTCAGGCTGATGTGTCCATTGGCTAAAATCACACTTCCTTCTAACTCAAAACATGCGACAGTGGTCATCTCTTAAGCATCACTGCTGAAGCTTTGCATTTTGGGTTGACGCCTCTCTCTGAAGCTTGATTTGTGGCCCTGGCTTGGGCTTTGCGTGGTCCCTTTTGCATAATGACACTAACGCAGGCTACTCCTTTGTAAAGCAGTGGACTCTGATGATTTTTTTGGTCTCAAAGGAACTGACAGTAAGTGGAAGGCAGATGGCAGGCATGTGAGATGCACGCAGCTGTGTAGGGAAGGCAGAGCCCATCTTGACATCCCAGACTGCCTCTTCTTGCTCCCCTTTAAAAAGAGTTTCTTATGCCTGAGAAGACAGGAGCCCAAGTCACACGAAGGGTAGTACTGGAGACACACAGTGAGGTATTCCTTCATTCACAGGGGCCACCTCTTTTCTCTTAGGGGTCAAAGTTTCCAGCTGTAATCTATCTGCAGGGGAGAGAGGATATGAACCCCAGAATAGCATTGTTCAATGTCACAGTGTTGGGAGTTACTGATGCATCTCAGAGGGGAACAGAGGAAATAGAGCAGCCTGCAGGGTTTGAGTCTAGTCTGCAGCTACCCCCATAAGCTGCAGGGGGGGATTCTGAAGATATCTCAGGAAACAAACACTGCTCACCCACAGCATCCGATGTGTAGCTTATACCAGGAAAACAGTTGCAAATATAACAAGTGGTCCATTCTGGACCAGATATGTCTACAAGGCTCTCAGACATGCTCGGCAAGGAGAACAGAGTCCAAGGAGTTTCAAAATTCACCACAACAGGCTTTGAAAAACAAAAGCTGCCATTTTCTCTTCTGTTAAATAGGATTTTAAAGTCTAGTTACTTGTGAAACTTTGGTTTGGTTTTAAGGATTTTTTAAATTCTTTTTCTGTTTAATTCTTGTCCCAGGTCTCAAAGTCATCAGAAACTAAGTAATAAAAAAATTGTCTTCACTTCTTCTCCCTTTTGTTCCTGGATCCTAGAGTTTCCTTATATTCCAGGGAAGGACATTTCCCCTTATTTATTTCATCATAGGGCACATTACAAAATCCTTTTAAGCTGCGTGGTAGAGTGGATAAGGTCACAAACTTTGCGGCCAGCCTGGGTTCAGATTCTGTTTCTGTAGTTTACTAGCTGTATAAACTCAGGCAGGTGACTTGACCTTTTTGTACCTCAGTTTCTGCCTATGCACAATGGAGGTAGTAATAGCACCCAGTTTATAGACTTAGTTTAAGTGTTAAAGAAGTTGATACCTTTAAATCATTTAAAATAGTGTCTGGCACATAGTACACAGTAAATGCCGGATAATTATAAATCATGTGTTTAGATGCCCACCCCATTCATAATTCAAAAATGTTTATTAAATCATCTTTTGTTTTTTCCTGAGACAGAGTCTCACTGGTCACCCTGGGTAGAGTGCCCTGGCATTATGTTAGCTTACAGAAACCTCAAACTCTTAGGCTCATGCAATCCTCCTGCCTCAGCCTCCCAAGGACCTAGAACTATAGGAACCTGCCACAACACCCAGCTAGTTTTTCTATTTTTAGTAGAGATGAGGTTTCACTCTTGCTCAGGCTGGTCTTAAACTCCTAAGCTCAAGCCATCCACACACCTTAGCCTCCCAGAGTGCTCAGATTACAGGCGTGAGCCAGTACACCTGGCCCAAATCATCATTTTTTTTTTTTACTTATGTTAATAAAGATCAGACAGTTAATCTCACTAAAAAAGTTTTTATAAAGCAAAGGAGATAAAGTGAAATGGCAACCGATAGAATAGGAGGAAAAAATTACAAACCATTTTATCTGCTATAGGGCTAACCTCCAAAATATATAAGGAACTCCTACAACTCAACTGTTAAAAGAAAAAATTAACAATCCAATTTAAAAAATGAGCTAAGGACTTGTATAGACATATCTCCAAAGAAGACATACAAATGGCCAACAAGTATAATGAAAAGAATAAACTCACGGCTTGGCGCCTGTGGCTCAAGCGGCTAAGGCGCCAGCCACATACACCTAAGGTGGTGGGTTTGAATCCCCAGCCCGGGCCCTCCAAACAACAATGATGGCTGCAACCAAAAAATGGCTGGGCGTTGTGGCGGGCGCCTGTAGTCCCAGCTACTTGGGAGGCTGAGGCAGGAGACTCGCTTGAGCCCAGGAGTTGGAGGTTGCTGTGAGCATGATGCCATGGCACTCTACTCAGGGGGATAGCTTGAGGCTCCGTCTCAAAAA